ACAGCTGGGGTCTCCCTATTGAAAGTTGAAGGAGACGTCCACTGCTGACTTGAATGAATGGCTAATAAAGAATTTATTTATTGTAATACCTCATAGACATTGTACAGATCCATGTACATTGAGGACCTGCCTGTGGCTGGTAAGATAATGTGATGATCCATCCTGTGTTCAGTGAGACAGAGTCTGATCTGTTCATGAATAGTTGGAGCAAAGTCTTGTGCTGTATTCCGGATTAAAAGATTTCTTACTACATTGGAATAACACTTTTTTATGATGCAAAATATCTTTTTTTTTTTTTAAGATTTACTTATTTCTTTTTAGAGAGAGAATGCTATGGGGGTGGGGCAGAGGGAGTGAAAATCTTTAAGCGGACTCTGCACTGAGGATCCCAGTGGGGGAGCTCTATCCCCAGGTGTTGAGACCGGGACCAGAGGTGAAACCAGGAATCTGATGCTTAATTGAACACACTACTCAGGCGCCTGAAGAAAATATCTTTTTATTTAGATATGCAGGTTGGAATTTTTTGCTTCGTGTTTTTATATTTCTTTTGTATTTCTTATTTAACATCCTTCATTTCCCTTGTGTTTTTTAAATCACACTTATGGGCTCTTTGTACAATTTTAAGAAGTGGTAAACTCCAGCATATCAACAGGATTCATTTTGCTTCTCTTGTTTTGCATCATGTGTTTGGCCTGAAGCATTGGAATTACCAAATGGGGCAAGGAGGGAATGAGAACACATGCACAGTGTAACCAGATATTTTTGTATTATTTTCATTATGAAATAGCACATTTCTCTTATAAGTATGGTTCTGAAATAGTGTAAGACTTATTTTGAACCCACAGTCTGAAATCATTGCCATCATCTTCCCTTTCTGTTTGGTTAATTTTTAAAAAATAGTGTTTCACTAATTTGAATTAAAATGAGATAAATTATACTGTGAACTCTTTCTTCCAAACATGAATATTTACCTTAATGCTTCACAGGAAGGCAGCGTGTCTATTAGTTTTCCTTCACTATTTATTGTGTCCTCACTTGTGTGTAATGGCAGTGGTGCTGTCTTGGGTGGAAAGTGACCATTTATTTGTGCTGTTAGATTGATTCGATCTGTGCTTGTTCTGGAATGACCAAATGACAGGAGTGCCACCAAGAGGGATGTGAGAGGTTGAGGCTTAACCAGAAAGAGTTTCTTAATGTGGAGAAAGGGGTGAGAAGGGTCTACAGTTTCTGACCTTTGGACCAAAATATCAAGAACTCAGTGGTGTGGCCACAGTTAGAATATCCTACCTCAGGAGTGGAGTCCCGTAAACACCAGGCCCACAGATGATGCCTAAGCTGGATATGAGTGTATAATTTACCCTCTCTTCCACACATGCTGGGCTGAAGCAGTAGCATGGGGCCTCTACTCATGGAGGTCAAGATTCACCCAGAAGATGGCTCTTAAGCACAGACTAACAGGAGTGAAGTCTATGGTGGGAAAGTGTTGTGAAGTCAGACCGTGAAAGCCTAGGGTGGCAATCTCAGCAATAGAAGTTTGTTTCCCCAAGTACTGGACAGATTGGGTCCCAGGACTGGGCACCATCTGTGTACCATGCTCAGGTGGGTTGGGAGTGGGGGAATTTGCTCTTTGTGCACACATTGCTGAACAGGGTGGTCCTCAGCTCCACCCCCAGCACACTTACTTGATGTGCATGTTTCTATTGAGCCTTGCTCAGCCTGACTCTGTAGTCACTTGTCCCTTTAGAGGGACTGAGATGACTCAATCTATGACATTCAATTACACAGTTGAACTCAGGGCCCCCATATATCTGTTATCTTGTGAGGAGAGAAGCACCTGATGTTGTGATGTGTACACTTTGCCTATGCCAACAGTCTCATGGGCGGGGGTCTCATGTCATCCTACCTACACTGACAAAATGAGACTCGGTGAATCACCTACCATGGAAAAGAATAGACTCTGGTGGAATGTCTGGGATAACCTAACACTACAAGAAGTCTGTGTGCTGTTTTCTTGAGAACAGTGTCATCAGAGTGGACTGAGGGTGAAGTGTCTCAACGGTCCTGGTCAGAGGATCCCAACTCACATAGTAGCTACTTTGAATGAACGTGGTACAAAATAGGGGAACCCATTACTCATAGCATAAGAGTATGTATGATAGCAAGATCATGTGTGTGTTGAATATTTTCCTTCCATTAGCTGTGGCCTATTGGAAGTGAGCAAAATTGGCTGTGGTTTAACTGTCCTTATTTCATCTTTCAAATGCTGGGGCCACCTCTTCCACAGCCCCAACTAGCAGAGGCCGGTTTGACCTCAAGCATTTTCCACGAATCAACCACGTTTGATAGAGTGCATAGATAAAACAAGCCTGAGAAAATAAAGCACCGTCCTCACATCAACACCCTTCTGCCACTCACACCATCTCTGGCACCACCACCTTCTCCCTCTCTGCACATCCCAGTCCAGGACAGCCCACAGCCCAAATCCAGTTGGGGAAAGAAGGTGCTGAGGAGTTGGAAACCACAAGAGACACTGTCTAGGAGCCCCAGCAGGGATATCAGCCCACTCAGCTTTCCATCATTTGCTGGTTTCCCCTCTGTGCCTCCGTCCTTTCCACATGCAGAAACAGATCCAGAGTCTAAGTAGAGGCCCAGTTGTTTGTCCTAAGTAGGTTTGATCATATTCTTGAGAATCAAAGAGCAGATCAAAATTAAATTTCCTCTTCCTTGTATCTGGTGGGTCTGTTATTTCCACATGGGAACCTCTATTTGGTTTCCAAATGCTCCTGTTTCATAGCAACTGATGTTGATTGTAAATAAAAAAGTAGATCCTTCTGGGGACACCTGGGTGGCTCAGCAGTTGAGTGCCTGTCTTTGGCTCAGGGTGTGATGATCCTGGGGTCTGGGATCGAGTCCTGCATCAGACTCCTTGTGAGGAGCCTGCTTCTCTCTCTGTGTCTCTGCCTCTGGCTGTGTGTCTCTCAAGAATAAATAAATAAATAAGCTCTTTAAAAAATCCTTCTGAATTTTAAATGAGACATTTTATTCTAATATATAAAATCTTTTACTTTAAAAGGAATCATTAGAAAAGGAGAAAAATGAATAATCATTTATTTCTTTACCCAATAACCATGCAATGAACATTTTGTTTACCTTCATGTTTGTACAAATATACACACACATATAAATGAGTGTCATACTTGGTAGTATTGCTGCACATAGAAACTATGTTCAAAGGACTGGACAAATATTGCACAAAAAGAGAAATATAAATGGATTCAATGTATGAAAAGATGCTTATTCTCATTAGAGAAAAGCAAATTAATACCATGATGAGATACTACTTTTTACATGTCAGATTAGCAAAAATGTGATGTTTGATAACAGTGTCCTGACATCCACCTACATTGTGGTAGAAGTGCACAATGGTGCTGGATCTATCAGGGTAAGCTGACAATACCCGTTAAAATGACCAATAATTCCATCAGAGTGGCATAAAACAATATTATAATTTCAGCATATTATATAATAGTAAAGACTGGAAATAATCCACTGGTCTATCACAGGGAAGTGAATAACATATCTTATAAAGTGTATAGTCACCAATGAAATACTGTGCAGCTAAGTGTTCTTTTGTATTGACATGAAAATAGCACAAGGATGTGTGAGGAAGATATGCAGAATAATATATATTACTACTGTTTGTGTGTTAGAAGAAAGAAAATTAGATCTATGTGCATTTATTTATTTTTTATATCTAAATTTGTATTAACCTAAATAAACTGAAAAGATAGACAAGAAGAGTGTAACATGTAAGTTGTGGGGAGTTAGAGACAGTGGTTGGAGCAAGGTTTTGTTTTTCAATCTTTACAGTGTTTTGATTCTGGAACTATGTGAAGGTATAATCCAACACTTTTAGTAAGGTCCTGCCATGCAAAGCTCTTCAACAACACTTTTTTTTTTCTTAAAGTTTTCATTTGTTTACATAATCTCTATCCCTGGTGTGGAACTCCAACTCAAGATTCCAGGATCAAGAGTTGTTCACTCCCTTGACCGAGCCAGCCAGCCACCCTTTCAACAACACTGATCAATTTTCCATTTCTTCAATAATCTACATTTTTGTGTAAATGAATAGTGGTCCACATACAGTATCATTTATTTTACTTTTTTTTAAGTTTCTTATTAGGCTTTTGACTTAATTGGGGACTGTTGAAAATGGTGCTATGATATTGCCTGTAAATCTTAATGCATACTTCGAAGTTGTGTGGGAGTGTGTGGGAGGAGGTGTGTTATCTATTATTTAGAAATTAGAGCTGCCAACAGTAGATGCTAATGATATTGAGGGCTGGCATGTGCCCAGCAAAGTTAACTCATCCCATCCACACAACTCCAGGAGACAGGGAAGACTGTATCTTCATATTGCAAATGGGGAAATTAAGGCATAGAGAGTTCAAATAGCTATAGAACCAAGATTTAAACCCAGGCACTTGGGGTTCAAGTCCAACCATTTAAACCCTCCATCACTCTAGCTTTCCAGTCTTAGTGCAGTTCTCATGGGATTCTTGTGAGATCAAGAAATGTGGTGCCCATGAAACACTGGTATAGTTTTGACCACAGCTGCCAGACATTTATGTTATACTGTTGCCACTAGAGTGTCTTAAATGAGATGGGTCTGAATCAGCTGACCATTGAAGGAGAAATAATCTGGGCACCATCACTGGCTGTGGCTCTCAGGTGCCAGTGCCTCAAAGAAGTCATAATAAGGACTATGTCAGGGAAAGAATTAGAAATTTGGAATTGACCATTATTACAACCACTGCTGATTTTGAAAACTCAGTTGTCATGTTGTCCCTTACCTCAATATCTCAGTTAGATTGCACCAAATGAAAGAACACAGATGCAAAAGTAGACTTTTGATTGTTTTTATTATGCCTATTTTCAAAAATAGTAGAGGTAGCAAAGATGCCAGCTTCCCAATGTGTAAAATAAAAGGATTTGAAGCAATTATCTGGTTAAAGACCCTTTGGAGATGTAGCTGGAAGCTGTGTATTGGCTGAACTCTGAGGTATGGGTACTGCGTGGCTGAGCCGCTGGTGGACATCGAGGAGAGAGCAGCGCTGAAGCTCCTAGGGATGGCCCCCTGGCCCCGCCCCTGAGTCATGACAGATTTTGTTCTTGCTACAGAGTGAAAGTTTCTGTTTGCCCAGTGGTTTGTAAACCTATTCTGCAATAATTTCTCAATAGGAAAAGACACATTTGAACTGAAATAATTCAGTCTCAGAGAGAAAGCTGCACTAGATCCTCAGCAGACACTTGTCGCCACAATAGCCAATGGAGAAAAAGGGGACCTTTGGTGTCACTGTGTGTTAGGAACTCTTCCCATTGCCACAGAATGCTGGTCTCCAAGTAGATAGAAGGTGATGGCGACAGAGTAGGCCAGGCTCTTGAGGAGAAGGAGGAGGTAGATGTAGTAGGCAGAGGTGTTCATGAGCTGCAGCTGCAGGACGTCTAAAAGAAGTTACTTATTAGTTTCACCTGTTCTTTTGAAGACGAGGGCTTATTAGCGGGGGAGGGACTCACATTATACATTTCTGATGATCTAGATTGAAAGGACCTCTCACATCAGCACAACCCAACAGTAAATGTCTACATCATCAATACTACCACCACCATCAATACCAAATAACTCAGAGTCCAGCTTGCAGGTCGAGTCAATAAACAACCTCTGAGAAGCTCACTTAGAACATTCTAAAGTATTAAAAAGTAAGGATATGTCTTAGATAAATGAGTTAGCCTGAAAAAAATTGGTTAAAAATAGCTTTTACCATTTCTTCACCCCCACCACATCTGTAAATAACAACATAGCTAATATGCCTTAACCACTAACTAAATGCCAGGCCTTTAATTTGAGAGGTTTGTAGGCAAAGCTTCAATATTAAATTTACATTTTTAAATTTAATTTCATATATGGCATTTAAATTCATATACGGCATATACTACATGCCAACATATAGTATAACACTCAGCACTTATCCCGTCAAGTGTCCTCCTCAGTGCTCCTCATCCAGTTACCTCATTCCCTTACCCACCTCCCCTTCTGCAACCTTTGTTTCCCAGAGTTAGGAGTCCCTTATGGTTTGTCTCACTCTCTAATTTTTCAACCTTGGAGATTATTATTTTCATTGCCATTTTACAAATAAATTGAGGACAGAGAACTAAGTTGCCTGGTGTCATACAATTAGTAAGTACCACAAGCAAGATTCTAATCCCAGCACATAATGTTCAAGAACACATTCTTACTCTGTATTTCTGTACATCCACGTGTAATAAATGCCCCCGACAACAAAGAGTTAAGCATCAATATAAAGATGGATTGCTAATTTAGAAGCATTTTAGCTATTATACCTTATACATTGCTGAGATTCCTTTTAGGGGAACAATCAATGGAAATGTGGTTGTGCTGCAGTAGAGTAGGTAGGAGGTTTCGGTAAGAGGGTTAGTTGTGATGACACACACACACACACCTAGTGTGTGTTACTAGGTGATGTATGGAAGTGATAAATCTCTATATTTTAAACCTTAAATTAATACTACGCTGTATGATAACTGGAATTTAAATTAAAAATTAAAAAAAATAATAAAATAAAGTGCAAGAATGGTGCTAATCCAAATTCTCTGCAACTTGAGGAGGTCACTCCTTTGTCTTTACTGAATACCTTAATTGTAGCTATGATGTTATAGGATAATTTATTATCCTATATCCTATCCATTTACTATCCTTTGAGGTTTTGCAGGAAAAATATGATACCAAGAAATAATGCCAGAGATGTTGGGCCAGATTAGCTACTCAATGAGCCACCAGGCTGAGTCTGTTCCTGTGGAATATTGTTTCACATGTTTATCTCCAAATATTCAGAATTCTGGAATCATTAGCCCTTCATGGAAAAGGACCTCAAGTGGTGTTGTACTCATAATTTCTTGTCCTTGGTCAAGTAATATGTTAGCTAAGGTCTAGAGGCCCCTTGATATTGGACATGGAGAGCAGATAAGCAGGACAAGAGCCAAAGTTCCTTGTGCTTTCTTGGTACATATTTTGGAAGAAAAGGCCAGAAACTAGTACTTACAATGTGTCAGCTAAATGATATACCCTATGATAGATATTCCACATATGTGACATTATATCTTCAATAACTGAGTGAGGTGTTATTCCTATTATTCCTGATTGGCTCAGGAAATGTAACTACTATACTCATATCCATGCAACTAATAATTAAAAGACTGGGGTTAATGTCCAGTCTATGGCATTTGAAACTCTGTACTGACCCCTCTCCATATGTGTATCTGTCTCAGTGCCTTGGCTTTGGGATCTCATGCTCTATGACAAAAGCATAGAAGAAGAATAGAAAACTGAGTAAGTGTATGAATTGTTGGCTCAGACAGTCTGGGCTGAAGCCCCAGATCTCACTGTGTGATGTGGTGCAAGGGACTTAACTAGTTTTAGCTCACTGTCTTCATGTGTAAAATAAGAATAAAATCCTTCATAGTGAGTATTAAGAGAATTAAACAAAATGCACTCACAGTGCAGCACAATGCCTTTTGTACAAGAACTTCAGTGTCAGTTCATGTTATTAACTACCAGCAAGAATAAAGACTTATTAAAAAACCTCTAGAAACAACCTGATATCATGTTTTCCTCAATCAGTAGAAACAAAGGCCACAGAAATATATGAAGTCCATTGCTGCAAGAATTCAGATCACATCACTGAACTCCTAATTTATAGTTCTTTCACACCCAAACCAGCATTTACTTTGCAAAGATGACTCCTGAGCAATGATGAATTGATTTAAAATATGATTCAGTCTATTTTGCAAGATCCAGCCATTCTGATATTTCACCCTGACACCAGGGAAGTTTAAATGTCAAGTTGATCAGGAGGAAAAAAATACTGTAGTGTAACATAAAGGCAAACATAGACAAAAACTTACCATTTTCATATCTCATAGAAGGTTTTGCGGAGGTAATAGCAGTGAGCTCTAAAAAAATAAGAGCAAGTATGATTCAATGGTTCATATCCATTATTTTTAATATGTCTGTGTTGTGGATAGATGGATAGATAGACAACAGATAGAATTTGTCAACCCAGAGGATAGAGCCTTTACTAATATGAGCCCCATGATTCCAGAAATGATTGGTCTGATCTGTGTAGTTCAGTAGATCAATTCATATATTGTATTTCTGCACATGAAGATGTTGAAGTTCATGAATGATTCATTTTATCTTTTTTTCTCACAACTGAAGGGCAATATCTAAGACTTGTTTTCTGTCTGTGCTCATAGCTCCCAGTCCTGTGCCTGCTGCAAAGAAGGTGTTCTAAAAATACGTATTGAAAGGAAAAATAGCCAGAAACAGTGGATACCGTTCAGTCCTCAGCACCCACTGCTGACATGAAGGATTGCTACCAAAATGAATTCATCCAACCCTGGAATCCACAGTAGAATCTTATAAATCAGAAGGAGTCTGGAGATTTTCTGGAGTGGTGGTATTTGTAGACATGATAATGATACTAATGATAACATGTATCTATCGAGTGATTTTCCTGTGCCAGGCACTTTGTGAAAGGTTCACATGTATTACATCATCTGATCCCCCAATGACATGGATGTAAACTGTATTTTGGAGGACCCCATGTTAGACTCAAAAAAGTAAAGTTTATAGTGTCTAAGTAACTTATTGGGAGTCTTACCAGTGACCGGCAAAGGCAGCACTCAAAGGACCATTGTGAGGGTTTAGATGAGCTAGAGTATGTGGAAAGTACCTTGTAAAACAATCCATAGAAATCATACATAACTCCACCGTTGTGGACTCTCAGACATCATCTCTCACAGTTAGTTAATTACTCTTAGCAAATGACCTTTTTATTACAGAAGTTCAACATTTCATGCACATCTTTCCAGGGATAGAATGATTGGCCAAGAAATAATCATAGTTTTCTGAATATATAAAACTGAGTTGAAGGTTGTATTTCTCTACAGTGTAAAAAAACAAAACAAAACAAAACAAAAACAAAACAAAGACCCAACATGCATACAAAGACAAGAATCCTTAAAAAGATCATTGACTGCTGGATGGAGGAAGAAAGTCTCAACTGGTTTTGATTTATCTTTTTTCTGCTCAATGTGTCCTTGTCCATACAGATATGGTTCTGTTGTGCACATTATTCACTCCACACAATCTTATTTTGGTACACTCTTAAAAAATAAATCTGAGCTATAGGCTTTGGGGTAAATCCAAAAAATAAAAATGTTCATCTAGTCAGGTTTAGATGTTAAAATATCTTCAGGAATTGACTTTTTAGTGTCTTAAAAGTCTCTTTCTTTTCCATACAGTGACTTTGCTCATTAAAAGGGAAATAAACATCCATCACCATGCATTGATCGATTGAAAAACATTAAGGTAGCAATCTCTCAAATCAAAATCTGTGTGGTGTAGGCTAAATTCTCTTTCTCAGTTAAGTTTGCTTAAAACTTGGATCAGATTAGTTTTCTCTCTTTGAGATCACTTCGTGGATTTGGGCTTCCATGTACTGTATATTTTTAGCTTTCATCAAAAGCAAAAAGAACAAACAAAAAACTTACAAGAAAGAGCATTAGAAATTTGCTGACGAAAGGCATTAACAGAAATGCCCTCATTAACTTTGTTCCTATGAGAAGATCTTGGAAGATAATCCTTCTATGAATTAATTCTCAGGTAAAATACATCATATATAAGAATTTCTCCCTTTTCTCTAATCACCATGGAATTTACTATAGTATATTTTTACTGTGATCACTATAACAATCAATCCCTAAAGGACTACAGCCCAGTGGTTACATTAAACTTGTGCTTCGCTCATTTGTCTCCTGTTTCTTAGCTATAGAAATAAAAAATTAGGGTTGTTTGTAAACTCAGTTTTATTTAGGATAAGATATACATTAATACATTAAACAAAAGAATGAATGTATCTGTGTCATGTTTTCAAAACCAAGCATTTTCACTGACATTGCACTTTCTATTCATCACATGCCAGACAAAGCAAAGATAAGTGTTCCACTCTAATTTGATCATTGGAAAAATGAAGGATCCAAGAAGATAAAGATTTAGTTTAGCAATTCATAGTGGTACACAGCAAAGGTCTTTGCATGTTTTGTTAAGTGTTTGTTCCCCATTGGTTCCCAAGGGCTTGTGAAACACAGGGAAAAGCTCTAACTGGTTCCTTTTTATGGGCCCTCTGGGGCTTTAGTCTTTGATGTTCCTGCTCAGGACTTGACTTTTCAGTCTAGAGGTTACTAGATCACAGCAAGACCAGGGCACATCCATCTGCCCACACTGTGGAAATATATCCAGTATCTGCATCAATGAGATTAGTTTGGGTCACAATGCCTGAATCACAAGTGACCCTGAGTGATTAGGAAAAGTGTATTCTCTCTACTGTAGTGATCCTCCTTGGGAGAGTAGTTCATCCTGCGTCCCTTCCAGGCCTGGCACATGCTAGAGCTGCAAGAAATGTTTGCTGAGCAGCATTTACCAATGGTAAAGATTATATTCATGTGTAGAATGGATGAATGTTTGTACACGTTAGCTTAACCCAATCTTTACTTACCAAATTTCACCTTAGGGTGGTATATAAAATTCAAAACTGAGAAATCCAAGACCGTACTAACACCTCAGCAACCATATTATTGTAGCCTATATCTCATTGTTAATGAGTTATATTTTGAGTAGAGCAAAATTAAAGTGAGAAGCACCTTGACTACTGAGTAGAACATCCCTGAAAGATGTATAATTGTCCTTATTTCCTGATCAAGTGAGATCATTAAAGATGGTTCTCTTCTAGAGCATCTCTCGTGTGTGATATTGCTAGGTGCTTTCATGTGTATTATTTCTTTTAATTCATACAATGACTTTAAAAACATCATTGTGATGACTTTCGTGTTTTGGATGATGAAACTGAGGCTGAGAAAGGCTAAGTAAATTAGTCTTTTTCTTTTTCTCTCTATTTTCCAAAGCCCATTCTATTTTGATTCTATGGGGGAAATAACAGAACATCTATGCTACCATTAAACGTAAAAACATTAAAGAAAAGTTTCAATTTTTTTCATTAATATCTGTCAGAAAAGGTGGGATATTTCCTTTGGAAAAAGGGTATGGAAGGTTGTGTTTATATATACATATACATACCTTTTTTCTGTGAAGGAAATAGAATCTCTTGTTCAACTCCTCCTTTATTCCTCTCATGTTTGATGATACATTTGTATTCTTTATTCACTGACACTCCAGTCACAGTCAGCCAGCTGAATTTCATGTATGTGTTATAAGTCTTTATGGTGTCTCCCTGCTGGGATTTCAGAACTGTTTGGTCATTCTTTTCTTTCCAGTCTATCTTGATAACATCAGGGAAAAAATTCTCAAGAAGACAAAGATATGTTCCAGCATTCTGGAGTGTTGTTTCAGCAATTGAGGGAAGAAAAATTGTAGGCTTGGGGGAAATGCCTACATTAAGGTTTCTATCTGTGGAGAGGTGTAACAGCAATTAAAACATTATTAGAGCAACACAAACATTATGTGGTTTGAAACCACCAAGCACAAGAGGAAATTTGCCATAGAATTAGTGCTTACTATAGTCTTTCATCCACAATGGGATAGGAGATACTAAGTGTTCTTATTTTCAATGGGAAAACATGTTCAAGAAGTCATGTAACTTGTCCAGTAGCAGAGTCTGGATTGAAATGTGAGATTTTTTGGAACAACACACACTCACTTTTTGAATGGGAATCTATTTCCGTGTGTACTTGACACTCTATCAAGTTGACCTTTAAATATTCAAATATGGATCCTATGCACACTGCTGAAGTGATGGAGGTCTCCTACTTGATTTCTGATTTCAAAACATTTCAATCTCATATCTGAACCACTTGAGGATTTTGAGTAGATTAATGTTTAAAGCTGCACCTCCCAATTATTTACAGTGCCTCATATTTAGAAGCAAAGGAGCAGTATTTCCAAAACTGCTATTAGAAAACATTCTTTTCAGAAATACTTATATATTAAACTTGTTAAGTAAGGACACATATCAGAATTTTGTTTTGCTTTGGAAAATGTTCACTGAAAGCAAATTTTATATTGGAATATCATTTGAAACTTATGTGTGACTAAGAAGATGCCAAATTTGACTCTGAGTCTCCCTTTAAAGTCGAATCTGCCCTTGACAGCTGATAAACGTTTTTTTTTTTTTTTTAGAATGCCACAGTATCTGTGATTTCACCTGCTGAATATAATACATATATAACTGGTGTAATATTAGGTGTATGGTTCTAGAGTTTGTTGCAGACATAATGTCAAAATATATAACAAAATATCATTAGTTTTAAAGGACATGCCACTTGAACACTGGTATGTTACTTGATTCTACATTTACTATTAATGATTAAAATAAATGTTAGAACCCTTCTAAAATTTATTTCCACCTGAAACTCAAGTGTTTTACTAATGTTCTCTTTGGGCTAGTTTGGAGTTAGTTTAGTATATCAATGGGCAATTTCCTTAGAAAAGAGGAGTTAAATTTCTCGTTTGACAAGAAAAGGAAAAAATTATTTTTGAGGGTGGCTTGTGATATATATATATATATATATATATATACACACACACACACACACTCTAATATATAATATATTAAGATTATATCTAAGATATTATATATATATACATATATATATATATATGTATATATATATAATTAGGAAAAAAACCTTGAGAATTTCTCCCCGTGTAGCAAAGCTCCTGATCAGTAAACAAATGATGAAATTTATTCATTCTATAAACAGAATTAGGCCATAAGGTACTATTTTAAGTTTATACATCTTGCTTGGATTGCAAATTGTATTTTATTGATTATAATAGTAAGATACTGTATATTTCTCCAACCATATACTTTATTTTTAATGTAAAAAGCATGTTACATAAAGGAGATTAGTTTTTCAATTGTGCATGATATTCACATAATGTTAGCCTCTAGTCAACATATTAAGTAATCTAATTTTCATATTAGAAACTTTGGTTTTTTTTTAATAATACTTCTGATTCATTATTGTAAAGAAATTGAAAATCAAATGATGAAATCAAAAAGTTTCTGGATGGTAACACATTGATTTTATATCCTGTTACTTTTCTTTAGTTAGATTCTTGATATTTTATTCTTTCCAGCATAAAATGAATCTTGAACTTCCACAATTTTCTCAGTGGAATATTAGCTGAGCATTAAAATAGTGCACTTGATTATATATGGTTAGTGGTATATTTTGGATAGTAATATGACATGGTTTTTCCTTCAACATTCTTTTTTAAACTTATTAACAGTTATTTTTATGGCCAAAATAATTTTTATGATGCATAAATTAGAAACTAGATTCCAAGATAAATAAACCTGTCCAATATATTTATACACATTCATTTGCATAATCACAAAGTACATTGGAGTTAAATTGTCTGAATTATTTATATTTTATTAAGATGCACCAGTGTGAATTCTATTTAAGTTTACCAAATATCAACTACATTTTCAAGTGCAAGTGTAATATTTCAAACCTCCATATCAATGTTGATTTAATTGTTCTCTATTTTTCTTTTATTAAGTAAATAATTAGAGCAGTTTCATATTTAAATATGCATTTCAAATTTATGACATTCCTAAATTTATTTAAAGTTCTAACTATAGTTAAAAAGTTTAAACTTTTTCTGATAACTATGAGCATGAGGGCCAGAATTGTTGATGTCTAACCATGTCTGCTGGAAGTCACCATCTGTGAATACATTAAAAGTCATGGTGCCCATGGTAATGATGCAGTGGTAGCATGAAACGCACTGCTTAAAGACCATTTCTTCCATTTTATAAAATGGCTGTGGAAGCCAATGCCCACTGTTTCACTTCACATTTCCTCCTAAGAGACTCATACATTGAAGTCTTTTTCTAATTTTTTTGGTGGGAAAGACATAACAAATTTGAATATTTGGTGTGCTTCATTTTCTCAGGTAATATAAAGTATGTACTCCACCACATTTACCTCCTATCTTTGAACATAAAATTTTACCCTGTGTTTCTTGCTAGATGATCACAGGTCTTTTTTTTTATCTGATTTCCTTAGTGCTTTTGATCTATTTTCATTTTATGGTCTAACTCTACTTGTGTATTTCATTTTAACTCTTCTCAAATAGATTTTGGAAGTAGTTTAAATAAATGAGAAATAGTTTGTGCATTAGAGCTTGTTTCTTTTTCTGCCCCAGAGCTTGGTGGTTTAAAGTCTACCTTGAAGATATTGTGAAAAATAGGAGATGTTTGCAAATTCCACACTGCAATATAGATGCAAAACATACAGAATTCGACACACTGAAATGCCAGGGCATAAGGCAAGTCTTTTGTTCTCCCAATTATCCCTCAACAGGGTTGCCTTATGTTTCCTTGGGCAATCTCTCACTTTAAAGAGGCACTTCTAATGCTCAACTTTGATCAAACAATACTACTTGACAAGATAACAACCTGAAAAATCCAGTGCTAGTTTTAGAGGTTGTTCTACTAAAGGACAATAAGGAAGTTTAATATGGATTAGGTAAATATTACATGGAACAAAAGTCTCTACACATTATGCTTGCATTGCAAAATATAAATACCAGAGTAAATGAAAAAATATTTTTCAAAAAAATTTTAAGTGGGTAATTTTATATTCAAATAGTATATCCGGTTACCTTATCGTAAGGTTATCCAAAAACAGACACTCAGACTCTGAGACAACTCAGAAATTTGTTCTAAAGTAGATGTTTTAGATGCGTGTGGAGAGCCTGAACAAAAGTTTTTAATGAAATTTAGTGAAAACAAACAAAAAAAGTAGCATTTCTCAACTGATGTTTGATATAATTTTTAACTTTGTAGGTTAATTCAATTAAGATATTAAACATGTGAGTGAATATTTGACTTTTATCCATATAAGTTTATATATTCAAGTTGTAAAACCTCTTCCTTTTTTTCCTTTATATCTGGACATTTCCACTGAAAAATGAGAGACCACCTTATATTCAGGGTAGCAATATTTGAGACAAAACTTATTATATTCTCATTATTTAAAATTTTTTCTAATATTTATTTATTTATTTATTTTGGAGACAGAAGTAGAGTGCTTGAGCAGGGAAGAAAGAGGGAGATAAGCAGACTCTCGCTGAGTGTGAAGCCAACCATGGGGCTTGACCTGTGGCTGGACAGGCGGCTTGATGCAGGGCTTAATCCTATGACCCTGAGACCATGACCCAAACTGAAATCAAGAGTCAAGAGTCAGATGCTCAACCAACTGAGCCACCCAGGCACCCCTACACTCTCATCATTTTTAGAAGCAGGTGACAATTAATATTAGAAATTGAAGTATTCCACAAATTAGACCATTTGTTCTAAAGTGACCTGTAATAAATATATTTTTCTGTACTCTTGCTTTCATAAAAATTTCCAGTGGCGTTCATTTGAATTCTGGAGAAGAGACATTATTTATGACTGATCATGTCCTGTTTTTTATGATAGCTATTTCTATATTTAATTTCATACACTCCTATCACCATTCACTTGAGATTATTGTTACATTGATAAATGAATAGATGGAAAGCCAAAATGTTAACTATAACAGTGTCACTATAAAATTTTAATTTTTCTTTATTTTTTCCCTTTTCCAATTTTTCCATAATAAGCATATATTATTTTAATAATTTTAAGAAAGCAATAGCCAGTTAATCAAAATTTATTTACTAAAGGATGATTATACAAAAAGTGATAGATCTAGATTCACAGTCCATATTTTTCTCTGCATGATACTGTCCTCAAAAACATTTTTTGAGGTCCTCATGAATTATAACTGTGCCACCATTATTAAACTTGACTGCTAGAATTTACATTGACTATGTAGTCAGTTGGAAAAAAGAGCAGTAGAAACTTCCTTTTCAATTTGTGAATTCATGTGTGCCCCAGATCACAACTACTAAGGAAAACTAAATATATGTCTTTCATTTTTTCAGTGTTTTATTGCCTTTATGAAGATTCTTTGAAAACTTTTGACTAGACCTAGTACTCTAGAAACATCCTTCTAAGATGTTAACCCTCATGCAGGCAAAATTTCATCTTTAAAGCTAATGAAGAATGAACCAATTTACTAGACTGAGATTAAGGGGGAAAAAACCCCTAGCATATTCTTGAATACGTGGCATAAATATTTTGATAGTTGATAGTAATCATCCTCTGACTGAATGAAAGTTTAACAATTTTTGTTCATTCTTTTCCATTGGTTATTTTTCGAATCACATGAATAAGATATACAATCTTCTTTACAAAACTTTCAATGCAGAAATTCCAAGCACACCTAACATTTCCTCCTCTTAGGGACCTGCAGTTGCTCTAGCTCTTGTTAATCTGGTTAGCTCCTTGTTAATTAATGTCCTCCAAGCTTGCTCAGGCAGCAACTACCTCCAAGGACTGGGATGAAGTCACCAGCTTCTCCAAGGATCATGCTACTACCTGTGACCAAACTGGAATCAAATCCTAGAATTCTGAGCCAGCACCAGCACCTAGCCTGCAGCCCCTGTATTATTTGCCTCCCCTCCCTACCTTATAGGGAAGAATGTAAAGAAAATTTACCTGTAACCCTGAGCTGTGTGCCAGGACCCATCACTTTGTTGCTGTTCCAGCCATACCCACTCACTGTCTAAAAGGCTTTTCCAAAAAACTCCCTTTGTGCATCTTTTAAAATTGTGCCCATGTTTTTTCAATATTTATATATTTGTAAAAAAGGACTATGCTAATGTGGTTTTTTTTTTTTTTGAGAGAGAGAGAGAGAGAGAGAGAGAGAGAACGTGAGAGAGAGAAAGAGTGAGAGCAGGGAGTTGGAGCAGAGGGACAAGGAGAGAGGCATGACCAACAGGCAAGGAAACCAATTGTTTCAAGACCATGAGATCATGACCTGAGACCACATCAAGAGTTGGACACTTAACCGACTGAGCCACCGAGGACCCCCAAATTCTGCTAATTTTAAACAAAGATGAAGCTCAAGCAAAACCACATTAGATATGAATTGATGAACTGACCCCTCTCTCCCTGGGCAGCTTGGTTCCATCTTTCTCATCTTACTCACATCTCATCTTACTCACGGTTGGAGAGTCTGAATTTCTGACTATTTTCCTGAACGTTTAATCTCTTCCCTTAAAGGGTTTTCTTCTATAATATCAGTTCTTTTACAAGAATATAATTTATAGTTATTATTTATTTAATTTTCAAAGAAGAAAAAATAGAAATAATGTATTCGAGTATTTAATAAATTAATACTCAATATTTTTACAGGATTATTTTATCTCTATGTATTGAGGGGTGTATATCTGGTTTGATTGTAAAGTGAGTTCTTTCCAGAATCTAATCCCCACTGATACAAGACCTGATGTGTTGTTACAGAGTCTGAAATCATAATGATGATCTCTTTTAACCTATTTAATCCTGAAAGACTGTTCCTTTGAACTTAAAATTGCTGTAACAGTTTCCAGGGTATTGATTCCAGGGTAAAATTCCGAGCTGCCCATCAAAGGATCCTATTTGATTTGGTCTTTCTGAAGTTGTTCTAGCATGAGTGCAAAGGCAACTTTGAGTTATGTAGCTGAGTCCTGCATGCAGTGCAACTGCTCCCGTCCTTTTGCCAGCTTCAATATTTCCAGTCAGTTTGATGCCAATACAGAAAGAAGACTGAATGCATTGGTGTCAGAAGGATTTGTCCTTTAGAAATACCCTAAGAATTATGTTGAGTGAAATAAGTCAATCGGAAAAGGACAAACATTATATGGTCTCATTCATTTGGAGAATATAAAAATTAGTGAAAGGGAATAAAGGGAAAGGAGAGAAAATGAGTAGAAATATCAGTGAGGGTGACAAAACATGAGAGACACCTAACTCTGGGAAATGAACAAAGGGTAGTAGAAGGGGAAGTGGGCGGGGGGCTGAGGTGACTGGGTGACGGGCACTGAGGGGGGCACTTGGTGGGATGAGCACTGGGTGTTATGTTATATGTTGGCCAATTGAACTCCAATATAAAAATTAAAAAAAAAGAAATTTTAATAAATGCATATTCAACATGACTTGCTTGATCTTTTGTGGAGAAGAGAAGCAATTTTAATGCCATGATTAGAAGTAGAAGCATTCTTTTCCACATGAATAGTAATACAAATTATGAGCTATTACTAGCTAAGCATTCAGGTGAAGAGTCTACTTAAAATGTCAGGCTACACAATCAGAATCTAAAAATATGGCCTAGGGCACTTGGATGGCTCAATCGGTTAAGTATCCCACTCTTGGTTTCTGCTCAGGTCATGATCTCCTGGTCCTAGGATGGAGTCCCATGTTGGGCTCCTCACTCAGTATGGAGTCTGCTTCAGATTCTTTCTCGTCTCCCTCTCCCTCCCCTCTGCTACTTACTAAATGATGTGCACTCTCTCTCCCTCTTTCTCTCTCAAAATCTTAAAAAAAATACGGCCTAATGTTTCTCATAACACATAATGGTTGAGGCCATGCTTTTTGGAGTGGACAAGTCTCTCTTGAATCCCAGTCTTTGCCAGAGTAACCAGCCATGACTTTAGGCAAATAAATGAAATTCTCCAAACCTCAGTTTGCCTATCTATGAAACGGATCAAGAGGATTTTTTGTATAGGGCAGTTGAATGAAATAATGCACTAGACTAGTCAGCATGGTATCTGGCCCTTAACAAATCCTAGCTATTATTATTATTCCCTCTACTGGGATGATTTCAGGCCATTTTATCAAATTCTTCCAACAAATATATGAATTTTATGAGCAATAGGTGTTACATTAATGAAGAAAGCAAAAGAGCTCATGAATCTAAGATGTTCTGTGTCTCTGGCAGCCACAAGCTGAAAAATTTGGGGTCCAATGACCAAATCTAGAGTAGCTGTCATCCAGCCTAGAAGTTTTTTGAGTGTTGGGACTGTCTTCTTCACCCTTTTATCTCTATTGTACATCACAGAAACTGTCTTCAATAAATACTTGCTAAGACAATAAATGAGCAAATGAAAATGTAAAAGCATCAAGACTCTTTTCATGGATTCTGTAGCTGAAATGGTTTACTGAGCTCACAAATTCCATTAAAATGGATGATCTCTAGGCAATAGTGCAAGAATAACAATAGCCCAAATTTTGACTAGTCTCAGCCTCCCCTCTAAGATGCTATAGTAATAAGAATAAGTGGGATTTATTGATATTCTATAGTCATTTACTGTAGGAGTTAATTTTTTTGCACTGCACTTAAAAAGAGATCAAAGCAGTCATACCAATTTTGCAGGTTATTAGAGAAAGAAGCACTACTCATTAAGAAAGGGGCAGTATTATTACTAGAGGGAGTTAAAGTGTTTCTCACGTAAGTGACTGTCTACAAGAAAAGCATGTTGAATCAATAACTCACAGTAATGGTTAGTAGACACAGTTCTCAAAATATCTTAATTTCAATCCTGAATATATTTTACAGTGCAGGTATTTTCTAAAAGTAGAATTTTAATCTGCTTGCAAACACGGAAGTAAATAAACCATTTGCAAAGTAGTTGTGTTTCCATATAGAGGGCCCAGTGGCTGCAAAATTACTGTCCATATGATGAGGTGATCCTACATTGTTCTTTCTAAAAAGCTTCGGTCACAGGGTTTAAATAAAACAAAGTTACTTACCTGAAGGTGTTACTATGAGCTTAGTTCCTTCTCCAAATATCTTGATCCAGCCTGAGTTATCACACTGGTTGGAGGTTCTACAAAAATGTCAGCCTTCTCCTGAGCTTCATGGCATGACCAGTAGGTAGAAAAAAAAAAAAAAACCTCGCAATTTGATCTGGGTTCCCTTGGAAATCCTTGAATATAGGCTTCATAGTATCTGACATTTTATAAATTTTTCTCTAAAGTGCTAATAGGAAACAGGAACAATAAGAGCAAAAGAAAAAAGATGAAAAGATTGGGGGAAACCGATCAACCAACTACTTATCTACATTACCAGGAAAAGTATTCAGTCAATTAAGAGATTTTGATTTCCAGGTGTTCAAGTGTGTGAAACTGCTCAGAGGTTGCATCAAAGGAAAAAGCCCTTCTGTTCTCACAAACATCAGACCTGCTCTGTTAGTAATTTGGGATTGTATTTTTAAAGGAGGAAACTTTTCAGTAACCAAAAATACAAATATGTCAACAGAAATATACTTAAGAAATGTGAACAGTGTTTTCCATTTTTAAAATCAGCTACTTTTATGACTTGGCAACATGATTCTTTACCACACAAGGCAAAATGAGAAACTAGTTTGTGTAGCAACATTATTGTTCCTGGAATAAAAAAGAAATTTGTAGAAATCTATCTCCCTTGAGATAATAGATTCCTATTTAAACCAAAATTTCAAAACAAAATCCATTTCTCTGAAATGTTGAAAGAAAAAACTTCTTGGAAGCTATTCTATGTTCTTCAGAAATGCATGTGCAGCTCTAGTTCTGAGGTTAACTAGCTTTGGACAAGGCATTTGCCATCCTTAAGTCCCCATGTCCTCATTTGTTGTGTGGGCATTGGGCTATGTACGTCCAAAGGGCTCTTCCTGTTCCAAGAGTTTATGAACCTTTGATTAAGAGATCAGAAAAAGGTCTGCTCTGATTGCTTAAGTGAGAAAGGAGTTCAGGTTTTCTTACAAGTCCCTTCTGACTTTGTGATATTGTGAGATCTCAGCAGGCACAACAGCAGGTGGTTTCATTGGACATGAGGATTTCATTGATTATCAGATACAAGACTCTGTTGTCTTTCTTATCAGTGTCCAAGCCAGAATTGCGCGAGTCATACAGGGAATATTGGTTGAGCTATATAGGATTTATTTCAGGGGCTCTCCTTCTTTTAGTGGGTACAGTGGCCTTCTCCAGGAAAACCTCAGACTGCTTGCAACAAGTGCAACAGTATGTGGGGGAGGCAGTGGCAGCCCCTTTTCTTTAGAGGCAGGGACTGAGGAGGAAGATTGCTTTAGAACCAATGAAAGACCTTCTTACTTTCTGTCTCAGTGTTATTATGTTCGTGGTTTAAAAAAAAAACTATCAGATGTCAGAAGACTTCATCTAAATCCCCTGTCATAATAATTCATTGTTATCTTCCCCTTTGGAGCAACACCCTCAAGGTTTCCCTTAGGTTTTGCTCCAAACACACCTATCCTTGAGCTCTTTTTCACACTGAGTTATAGATTTTCCACCATACATTGGGAGAGTGTAGGAAGCTATATGGCTGTTGTGAGAATTGGAAGAAATTCTTATTACTTTATATAGTAACAAGTGAGACAATAATCCCACAACTTTATTCAGAAATATGTACATTCTATACATCAGTAGTTTGCAGAAAGTTCCCAAGGTTTGGTGAATATTAACAATTACTGTAGTTGTTGCTTTAGATGCTAGAATGTTTCCTGTGCTCTGATGTGAATGAAAAAAATTCTTGGAGGTAAAATATCCGTTGGTTTATTATTCTCAATTATTTTCCCATTCACAATTCTTAGCTTTTCGAAATAAAGAAAATTTTGCTGTTGTTTGGAGAACAATGTAAAATGTGACTTTTAAATGCTACAGTTAGTTTTGATGGCTCAGTGAAACAATTAGTTGTAATGGGAAAGAACTCCATGATGTGTTGACCCTGTGCTAGATCT